TGCCACAGTGGCTGAGTCAGGAGCCAGGAGCTTCTTCTGGGTCTCCCACGTGGGTGGAGTCCCAGGGCTTTGGGCCGTCCTCGACTGCTTTCCCAGGCCACAGGCAGGGCGCTGGGTGAGAAGTGGGGCCGCTGGGATTAGAACCGGTGCTGTTATGGGATCCCGACGTGTGCAGGCGGAGGATTAGCCAGTTGAACCATTGTGCTGGCCTGGAGGATGAATCTTCTATCTCCTGGTTCAGTACGTCGGGCTGGGCCCAGCTAAGCCAGGAGCCAGAGGTGCCATCCAGGTCTCCTGTGTGGGTTGGCAGAGGCCTGAGCACTTGGCTGAAGTCCTCAGCTGCTGCCCGGGGTGCCCCTCAGGAGGCGCAGGATGGCGGTGCCACCCGAGGAGGCACCACGGGTAGCAGCAGCAGCTGCTGAGGGCCAAGGTCGTGACCTTCACCCCTATTAACTCACCCTGGCGATAGCCCCGGGAAGGTGACACTGACCCTCAGAGGGGAGCGTTTGAGGCGGCTGGTCCGGCATTGGTGAGATGTGGGGTCTGAGCCCAGCTGGCCAGCCGCCCCAGGCTTCCTGGTAGCGCCTGTCAGCAGCTGGCCTGTTGGTTTAACTGGAGCCGCTGTCGCCAGCCCCGCGTGGTGGCTCTGAGTCAGAGACAAACGCCGCTCGCAGCCCTGTGCTGCCACCTGCCAGACGGCTGTGGTCATCTGTGTACACAGATGCTCCCGCCTCCCTCCAGCCCGGGCTGGGCAGCGCACATATGCTGCGCTGCAGCAGACTGTCACCTCAAGTTGAGCAAATATTTCCCAAGCATCCACTTCAGAGGCAGACATTAAACTTGAGATAAGCCGGTCAAATATTGACCGTGTCCTAGTGGGTCAGTGTCGGAGAGATACGGGGGGGTAGGGGTCAAGGTGCAGGTGCTGGGCTGCACTTTTTTTTTTTTTTTTAATCTGGGAGGCAGAAAGGCTGGCACAGAGAGAGTGTGTAGTGTCTGCTGGTTCACTCCCCACCGTCCTGTGATCACAGCCCCACCCCGCTCCACCACCACACCCTGGGGATGAGAGAGAAACCAGGAGCCCAGAACTCAACTCAGGGCCTTGCATATGCTGCCAGGAAGCCTGTCAGCCCCTTGGGCCATCGCCACGGGGCTCAGAGGGTGACCAGAAATGGCCTCGGACACTCCAGCCGACATTGCAGGGTATGGGGTGGCCAGCACTAAGGCCCCGAGGCGGGCCAGCCAAGCCTGACCGCTGTCAGCAGGCCAGCGCGTGCCTGGCGCTGAGCGCACCCGGGACCTGGGGCAGGGGGCCCAGGGTCCCTCTTCCTCTGGTGAGACTGAAGCTGACCCAGGTTCTAACCGGATCCCATTGAAGGCCGGGCTGGAGGAGTGAAGGCCTGGTGGGCGTGGGTGTGGACGCGGGGCAGTTGGTGGATCAAGACAAAGGCCGCTGATGGTTGGAGTGGGTCTGATGGCAGGGCATTTGTACAGCAGGGGTCCAGGGAGAGGCTGGGCAGTTTGTGGGGTGCTGCTCACAGTGGAAGGGTTGCCCATGAGGTCACCCTGGGCCCCGCTCACATCCCCATTGTCCTCCTCCTGCCTCCCCTGACGGAGCAGCTGGTGGAGAACCCTGGCCTTGGGGTTTGCGTCTGTGAAGTGGGCCTCAGCACTGCGAGTGGCCAGTCTCTCTCTCCCTAAAAGCATCAAGACAGGTGGGAGGACGGGAGCGCCCACTGCTGGTTCACTCCCCAAATGCCCACCATAGCAGCCAGGAACCCTGCCGGGGTCTCCTGGGGGACTGCCAGGGACCTGTCCCTTGAGGCCATCTCCTCTGTCTCCTGAGGAAGCTGGGGTCAGGAGCCTGCGCCAGGACTCTTGCAGGAGGCTGTGCCGTAAACTGCGCGCTCTGCCCACTCTCGGATCAGTTCTCTCCAGCAGAGGGGGATTGGGAACATTCTAGAATGTGTTTTGGGGGTACCCTGCACCTGCCCCTCCTGCGTTTGGATGGAAGCCCAGGTCCCTGCGGCTCATGTCTCGAGGCCCCGAGACCCCGGTGCCCTGCGCGGTTTGGGGGTACCGTGTGCCATATGCTCTGCGGGGGCATCCTGTAGGCGGCAGCCCTAGAAGGGGCTGGCCCTCTCCCCCTCCCTGCTTCTGAATTGCTGTCCCTCCCCCTACCTTCCTGCCACTTCTCCCTCCCTCCCTGCCTGGAGCCTGTCCCCTCCAACTTCCACTTCCCCCCCCCCCCCCACTCAGCTGACACTTCCGTCTGGCAGGATCCCCAGGCAGGCTGCTGGGAGTGAAGAGACTGGCGCTGAGATGGCCCTCACAGCCCTGGAGGCAGGAGTGCACGCGGGGCGGCGGGAACAGCGTGGGCACAGGTCCTGTGGCCAGTGTGTGCCCGGCCCTCAGGAGGAACAGGGCTGCATGGGAGCCAGGGACTGTGCAGGCTGGGCTGGGGCTGCGCCTGTGCTGCGGGACGCCCCATGGGCTCCATGAGCTGGCTTCCTGAAGCTCACCCCAGAACCCAGGCCTCGGACTTGCCACGCCCTGAGCCACCTCCCTCCCGTTAGGGAGGATTCTAGGTTGGCAGGTGCCCCTGGCTCCGCCCTGGGGGAACCCCACTCCGGACTCCAGCTCCAGCCGATGCACCCTGGCAAGCGGTAGGCAGTGACTCAACGACTGGCGGTTCTGCCGCCCACATGGGAGACCCGGATGGAGCTCTTGGCTTCAGCCTGGCTGTGGTGGACCTGGGGGGAGTGAGCCAGCAGCTGGGAGATCCTCTCCTTTCTCTCTAGTGTAGCCTTCTCAGGGGCGTGTGCCCCTAATGACGCCCGGACCTGCTGAGGGCAAGGCTTGAGCCCCAGCCAGATCTGCCAGCCCCTGGGGCCGACGCCGCCAACGCTCGCCTGTCTGGATACTCAGGTTTTTCTGCAATGGGAGGCGTTAGAATAATCAGCAGTAATTAAGAAACTGCAGCTGGCTGTGACTCAGGCAGGACTGCTGTGCGCGCAGTTCAGCCCCTGCACTTCTTCTTCTCGCCACAGGGTGGCGCCTTGACCGTGTGCTCAGCTGCAAATAAGTTTTCCCAACTGCTGCTGGCTTTATATGTGTATCTGTAATATATGTGAAGTCCGAAAAGCAGATTGACAGAGAGAGGAGAGACACAGAGAGAAGGCTGTCCCATCTGCGGGTTCACTCGCCAATGGCCGAAGCATGCAGAGCCGAACTGCTGCAAAGCCAAGGAGCAGGGGATTCTTCCTGGGTCTCCCACCTGGGTGCAGGGAGCCATTCTCCGTGGCTTCCCCAGTCTGTCAGCAGAGAGCTGGATGGGAAGTGGAGGAGCCGGCACATGAACCAGCGCCCATCTAGGATGCCAGCACTGCAGGCTGCCCCTCCCTGGACTTCTCCTTTTGCGTCTCTTTAAGGGACACTTGTCCTGGGGCTTCGAGCTTACCCACATCAGTTGCATCTTGCTTTTTTCGAATAAAAGTGGCCTCAGGTTCGGGTCAGTGGCTGGGGGTGACTATTTTCGGGAGTCTTATCCCCAGTCTCGCTGCAGATACCTCGGGACACGCTGTGAAGGGCACATGCCACGGAGTGGGGCCACGTCACCCCCTGGGGCGGTCTGGCCAGGTGTGTGGAGGACGGACGGACGGACACACACACACACACACACACACACACACACACACACACACACACACACACGGCTGATGTTTCTGGAGGGTTTGCTGGGGGCCCCCTGGAGGCCAAAGCAGGAGGTGCAGCTCTGTTGAGCAGGTTGAAGGGACAAGGCCAGACTGGCTCTCTCTCGGAAGAACCCCTGGGCCTGGCTGGCCGCTGGATGCTGTGAGAGTGACATGGGAAATGTGGCATGGGATCACTCGGTGTGTGTGCTGCGTGGAGTGGGTAGAGATAGCCTCCACCGGGCTGGGACAGTGACCGTGGGGCTGGCTTGGGCGAATGGCTGTGATCTCTGGGAGCAGAATCGCGAGCTGCGGCCCAACAGCCCCAGCATGCAGAGGCCCCCTGGCCACCCGTGACCATGGCTGCTGGGATCAGGGCTCATACAAAGTCTAATTCACTCACACACAGCTTTCATCCCAGAGTGACCTGGGCAGAGCTGCCCCTTTACAGCCTGCCCGTGGCATGACAGCAAGTGACGGAGAAAGAGGTCTTCCGCCAGCTGGGTCGTTCCCCAGATGTCTGCCACAGGCAGTGTCGAGCCAGGCTGAAGCCAGCGGCTCCATCCAGGTCTCCCACGTGGGTGCCATCCTCCACTGCTTCCCCAGGAGTATTAGTAAGGAGCTGGACAGGAAGTGATGCAGCCAGGACTCGAACTGGGGCCCATGTGGGATGCTGGCACCCAAACCATTGAGTTCCAGTGTGTAACCCTTGCCTGTCACACAGCCAAATACCAGTCTCTCTGGAGGTCCCCAACGTACCAGGAATGGGAACGCCTCAAGAACTGTGTCTCCCACATTCCCCTTGAAATGCCCCGGGGACCTCACTGGGAGATGTCCCTTGCAGGAAACGCCAGCTCCTATGCATGCACCCGTCCCTGAGTCTGCAGGGCCACCCAACACCAGAGCCAGGGAACACGGCACGCCACGTGCCAGGATCCCTGTCTCATGTCTTGCATCAGATGCACATATGGGCACTTTCTAGATCTTTCTGGGACCCACAGTCCAGGGAGGGAGAGGGGGTGTGAGACTGGATGTCCCAGCCCGTGTGGCTCGGTGTTGCTTGCTCGCGTCTGAGCCAGCCCTGGTGTTTATAGGATGACAGAGCCACGCACACACACCCTGGGCAGCCAGCTCCCGGGGCACTGCTAGGACATGTGTGACCTAGTCCGTGGGGGAGTGGACTTGGCTGTGACCCCCACTTCGGATCAGATCCATTCTTCAGTTAAGGAGTCTGGGACAGCGCCCTAATCGTTGAGGGTATCCTGAGACCCTGGTGGGTGCCGAGAGCCCTCCACCCGTCGTCATGCTAAGCTTGCCCTGTGGGTAATCCTGCCTCCCCAGAGCTGAGGGTCAGCTTAGAAAAGCACCGCAGGAGACGGGCCACAGCTAATCGTAAAGCAGCGTGGTTACAACCCGACAGGGAACCGGAGCCAGTGGAGGTCCCTTGGGCATGAGACTGTGATGGCGACTCAGTGGACGTGACCTGGACGCAGCGGGCATGAGGGTGGCACTGGGACCTGCGACATCAGAACTTACACACTGTGTATTTCTGCAGTGTTTTTGCTTGCTGTGTGTAGGCGCTGCCCCGGGGAGCATATGCGTATGTGTGGACATATGTGTGCGTGGACACACGTGCAGTCTCACACCTGAAGCCATCGGGTTCCTGCCTCCCACCACCCCGTCCCCCTGCCTCCCGACTGCCTGACCGCTCCCCGACTTTCCCACTCACATCCTCTCCTGGTCTCTCCACAGCTGGCCCCCACAAGGACGCTCTTGGATTCCCCAGCCGGGGGCCCTGCGTAGACCTGGAGCGGACACCCCCTCCTTCCTTCATGATTCGATTGTAGCGCAGGTAACCGGGGGCTAGGGGGTGCCCCCCGTCCCTGCCTTCTCCCTGCCGTGGGCGGTTCGTCCTCCCTTTTCTCCAGACCCCGTGTGGGGCTGGGGCTTCCCGGCCTCGGGCGGGGCAGGGGGCATGGGAGGGCCCTGAGAGCCGCCAGGGGACGCCCAGAGCCTAACCTTGTCTCCCTCACGCCCGGTCCAGTGGCGATGGATGATGAGGACGGGAGATGCTTACTGGACGTGATTTGGTGAGTAGCCGCTCCGTGCCCCCTCCGCCCCCGCCACCCCGCCCCGCTGGCCTCCGCATCCTCAGTGTCCCCTCTGCTCTCTTGCAGTGACCCCCAGGCCCTCAACGACTTCCTGCATGGATCCGAGAAGGCAAGTACTGGGCAGGCGGTGGAGCAGTGGGGTGGACACACGCCCCGGCCCCCTCGGGCCAGCGAGGGGCGCAGTCAGGGCACTGAGTCGGTCTGTCTGTGCCTCCAGGAGGGTGACATTAAAGAGCCCCAAGCGGAGCTTTGTGCAGCAAAGCAAGCCTTTAAAAAAACGCAGGGGTGGTTGGGGCTGCTGCTCCTTTACTCACGTGAGGAGAGGAGGTGGTGTGAAGGGTGGGCGGGGCTGCCGAGGTGGGAAGGCATGTTCTGGAAACCTCACTGAAGAGACACTCCGTGGGAGGGGAGAAGGCGGCAGAACTCCGCAGGTGCTTTAGTTGTGGGCAGGATGGGACAGGAGGACACACTGGACCCACGGGAGCCTGCTGAGGGCCTCGTGGCTGGGTGACGTGGGGCCGATCCTGGGTGGCCTGTGGTTTCCCAGGTCAGCCGTGTGGGTGTTGGCTTACTCGTGTGAGGTCACAGGCTAGACAATGACTGGGCCTGGGCGCGGGCAGGCTGTGGGGGTGCATTCCTGCAGATGCTGGTAGGAGGCCCCAGGCCCTCACCAGTGAGGGTCCTTGCCATGAGGGGCTTTGTAGCACAGCTGCTGGCTTCCCCCAGTGCATGGTGGCACTGCAGTGAGCCAAGACAAGTCACCGAGAGGGAGGGGGCACACCCGGGCAAGGTGGGCAGGCTCCAGGCTCTGGGTGCATCCGCTCACCTTGCTCTTATGTTTGAGGTCGAGGGAGATGCCGTGTCCAGAATGGCTGCTGGGTTTGGGCTTCGAGAGCGAGCACATTGTTTGGGGGAGGGTTGCAGAAAGTCCAATGGGACTGTTGAAGGACAGCTAGCTTCTGGCCAGATGTATGGTCATGGGAGAAGTGCGGGAGACCTTGGCCAGGCACATGTCTAGTGGACACTTGGGTAGTGCCAGGCCCCATCTGGGCACTACAGATGGCTCTAGGGCTAATGTAGGTCCCATGGTGCCCAGGAGTGGCAGAAAGGAGTGCTATTGGGACAAGGCAAGAATGCTGGTTGAGGTGGCATGGCAACAGCTCCCAAAGCCAGCGCTGAAGGTGACATGGGGTGGTGGCTTCAGCAGAGCCACAGAGAGGGAGCACTCGCAAAGCCAGTTGTGCGGTATGTAGGTTAGGTGTGCACTGTGGGATCAGGTGTGCACTGTGGCGTCTGGTGTGCACTGTGGGGTCAGGTGTGCACTGTGAGGTCAGGTGTGCACCGTGGGATCAGGTGTGCACTGTGGGATCAGGTGTCTTCTGTGAGGTCAGGGGTGCACTGTGGGATCAGGTGTGCACTGTGGGATCAGGTGTGCACTGTGAGGTCAGGTGTGCACTGTGGGATCAGGTGTGCACTGTGGCGTCTGGTGTGCACTGTGGGATCAGGTGTGCACTGTGGGATCAGGTGTGCACTGTGGCGTCTGGTGTGCACTGTGGGATCAGGTGTGTTCTGTGGGATCAGGTGTGCACTGTGGGATCAGGTGTGCACTGTGGGGTCAGGTGTGCAGTGTGAGGTCAGGTGTGCACTGTGGGATCAGGTGTGTTCTGTGGGATCAGGTGTGCACTGTGAAGTCAGGTGTGTTCTGTGGGATCAGGTGTGCACTGTGAGGTCAGGTGTGCACTGTGAGGTCAGGTGTGCACTATGGGGTCAGGTGTGCACTGTGGGGTCAGGTGTGCACTGTGGGATCAGGTGTGCACTGTGGGGTCAGGTGTGCACTGTGAGGTCAAGTGTGTTCTGTGGGATCAGGTGTGCACTGTGGGATCAGGTGTGCACTGTGGGGTCAGGTGTGCACTGTGGGATCAGGTGTGCACTGTGGGATCAGGTGTGCACTGTGGGGTCAGGTGTGCACTGTGGGATCAGGTGTGCACTGTGGGATCAGGTGTGCAGTGTGAGGTCAGGTGTGCACTGTGGGATCAGGTGTGCACTGTGAGGTCAGGTGTGTTCTGTGGGATCAGGTGTGCACTGTGAGGTCAGGTGTGCTCTGTGGGGTCAGGTGTGCACTGTGGGGTCAGGTGTGCACTGTGGGGTCAGGTGTGCACTGTGAGGTCAGGTGTGCACTGTGAGGTCAGGTGTGCACTGTGAGGTCAGGTGTGCACTGTGGGATCAGGTGTGCACTGTGAGGTCAGGTGTGCACTGTGAGGTCAGGTGTGCAGTGTGGGATCAGGTGTGCACTGTGGGGTCAGGTGTGCACTGTGGGATCAGGTGTGCACTGTGGGATCAGGTGTGCAGTGTGAGGTCAGGTGTGCACTGTGGGGTCAGGTGTGCACTGTGAGGTCAGGTGTGCACTGTGGGGTCAGGGGTGCACTGTGGGGTCAGGTGTGTTCTGTGGGATCAGGTATGCACTGTGGGGTCAGGTGTGCACTGTGAGGTCAGGTGTGCAGTGTGGGGTCAGGTGTGCACTGTGGGATCAGGTGTGCACTGTGGGGTCAGGGGTGCACTGTGGGGTCAGGTGTGTTCTGTGGGATCAGGTGTGCAGTGTGGCGTCTGGTGTGCACTGTGGGATCAGATGTGTATTGTTATGAAGGTTTTGTCTTGCAGACACCTTAGGTACAAAACTTTAGCCCCTTTCCTGGGTCCCTCCTCTGCATGAGTCCCTACACCCCTCTCCAGTCCCGACCTACCCCCTCGTTTCTTTGCCCTCAGTAATCGCCAATTGGTTTCTGTTCTAGAGTGCGGGCCTGCCCGCTGACCTCTGACGTGGGTGGGGCGGGTCTTGTTGCAGCTCGACAGTGATGACCTCCTGGACAATGCCGGGGAGGCCCAGGGTGCCTTCTATGAAGGCCCGGGGGTAAGTGCCGTGGACCTCGGGGAGGGCCGGGTCACTCGGGTGGAGGCGGTACTGCAGCTGCCCAGGGGAGTGCAGAGGAGGGGGCGTCTGGGGCCCCGGGGCACAGCGCATCCCGGCGACTGGGGCTTGGTGAGCAGGGACCATGGCTGCACCCTGACTCGGCCATGGCCTTGATGTGGCACCGCCTCTCTAGGCTGCCAACAGCCGTGTGGACGCAGACGGCGGCGTGGTGTGCACCTGCTCAGGCTTGGGTGATTCAGAATCTTTCCTATAAGAAGATGCCTACATTATGTCACACAGTTTTAATTTTTGATTTTTTTTTTTTGTTTTAATCTGAAATATAGACACAGGCATAGGTGTTCCACCTACTGGTTCACTCCCTAAATGCCCACAGCAGTCGGAGCCGAGCCGAGCTGACACTGGGAGCCCAGAATTCCATCTGGATGTAGTCCACCGCGGCAGGCAGGTGGCCAGGACCTTGTTCCAGCCCTGCATTTACCCACCTGGGTCCTGGATGCAGGTGTGGGGACCTCAGGGCACAGTTGGCACCAGGATTCCCACACAGCAATGGCAGCTGCGAGGTCTTCCGTGTGTTCCAGAACCCAGAATCTTTTGGGGCCGTGTGGTGTACACTGTGGGTGGCATCACACACGTGCTAGCCAGACTTGGGAAGGTCACGTGATGTGGCCCATGCCCAGAATCCCTTGGTCCTGGCCCAGTTTTGCTCTTAGCTTACAGAGCCTCCTGAGGCTCTGGAATCACAGACATGTGTTATGGAGTGCTCCGCCCACATAAAAACTGGGGTTTACCTTTTTACCTTCAACTGAGAAATGCCCTAGGGAAACTGGGGTCAGGGCTGTGCAGCCAGATCTTGCTCACAGAATGTTCTAGAAGGTAGCTGCTCTGCCAAGGTGAGTGTTGCCCCTTGCTAATATCACCCTTTCCTTTCCACCCTCCCTGTCCTCCAGCTGCACGTACAGGAAGCTTCCGGTAACCATCTGAACCCAGCGCCCAGCCAGCCGGCCCCCAGCGTGGACCTGGACTTCCTGGGAGATGACATCCTGGGCTCGCCAGCCACCGGAGGCGGGGCGGCAGGCAGTGGGGGCGCCGACCAGCCCTGCGACATCCTCCAGCAAAGCCTGCAGGAAGCCAACATCACCGAGCAGACCCTAGAGGCAGAGGCCGAGCTGGACCTGGGCCCCTTCCAGCTGCCCACCCTACAGCCAGCAGATGCTGGGGCCGGCCCTGCCGGGGCTGCGGGCACTACTGCCGTGGCCGCGGGGCCCCAGGCGCTCTTCCCTGGCAGCGCCGATCTGCTGGGGCTGCAGGCCCCACCCACCGTGCTGACGCACCAGGCCCTGGTGCCGCCCCAGGACGTGGTCAACAAGGCCCTGAGTGTGCAGCCCTTCTTGCAGCCCGTGGGCCTTGGCAATGTGACCCTGCAGCCCATCCCGGGCCTCCAGGGCCTGCCCAATGGCAGCCCTGGGGGCGCCACAGCGGCCACACTCGGCCTGGCGCCCATCCAGGTGGTTGGCCAGCCTGTCATGGCACTCAACCCACCCACCTCTCAGTTACTGGCCAAGCAGGTGCCCGTCAGCGGCTACCTGGCCTCGGCAGCCGGGCCCTCAGAGCCCGTGACACTGGCCTCTGCCGGCGTCTCCCCACAGGGGGCTGGCCTGGTCATCCAGAAGAACCTCCCAGCTGCCGTGGCCACCACACTCAACGGGAACTCGGTATTCGCCAATGCTGGGGCAGTCACGGCCACAGCTGGCGGGGCAACTTCGGGACAGCCACTGGCGGTGGCCCCGGGCCTGGGCACGACGCCACTGGTCCCAGCGCCCAACGTGATCCTGCACCGGACGCCCACTCCCATCCAGCCCAAGCCAGCAGGGGTGCTGCCCCCCAAGCTGTACCAACTGACGCCTAAGCCCTTTCCGTCCGCCGGTGCCACGCTCACCATCCAGGGCGAGCCGGGCTCCCTCCCGCCACAGCCCAAGGCACCACAGAACCTGACCTTCATGGCGGCTGGCAAGGCTGGCCAGAACGTGGTGCTGTCCGGCTTCCCCGCGCCCACCCTGCAGGCCAGCGTCTTCAAGCAGCCACCGGCCACCACAACTGGGGCGGCGCCACCGCAGCCACCGGGTGCCCTGAGCAAGCCCATGAGCGTGCACCTGCTGAACCAGGGCAGCAGCATCGTCATCCCCGCCCAGCACATGCTGCCCGGCCAGAACCAGTTCCTGCTGCCCGGCGCCCCCACCGTCCAGCTGCCGCAACCACTCTCCGCCCTGCCGGCCAACGTGGGCGGCCAGATCCTGGCTGCCGCTGCCCCTCACGCCAGCGGACAGCTCATCGCCAACCCCATCCTCACAAACCAGAACTTGGCGACCCCGCTGAGCCTGGGCCCTGTGCTGGCCCCGCCCTCGGGTGCACACAGCGCTGCCACACACATCCTCTCCGCTGCGCCCATCCAGGTGGGCCAGCCCACGCTCTTCCAGATGCCCGTGTCACTGGCGGCGGGCAGCTTGCCCGCACAGAGCCAGCCTACAGCCGCGGGCCCCACCACCACCACAGTCCTGCAGGGCGTCACCCTGCCTCCCAGCGCCGTGGCCATGCTCAACGCCCCCGACGGGCTGGTGCAGCCAGCGGCTCCTCCCGCTGCTGCGGCGGCTGCCTCCTCCACCACCACCACCGGGGAGGCCACCCCCGTGCTCACCGTGCAGCCCACCCCACCAGCACCCCCTGCAGCCAGCACGCCGCTGCCCCTGGGCCTCCAGCAGGCGCAGGTACAGCAGTCCCCCCAGGCCACGGCCCCTCCAACCGCTGCCCCACCTCAGGCCAGCACCCCACAGCCCAGCCCAGGCCTGGCATCCAGCCCGGAGAAGATGGTCCTTGGGCAGCCACCGCCCGCAGCTACCACGGCCATCCTTACTCAGGACTCCCTGCAGATGTTCCTGCCCCAGGTAACGGAGGTGGGCCCGGGCCAGGAGTGGGCTGCCGGGAAGGGAAACCCCAGAGGTGAATGTGGACTTGAACTGGTGGCCGAGACTGTCGGGGAGGGGAGGTGACCGGGAGGCTGTGGACATGGTCACCACGGGAGGAGGCCAAGAAGGGACAGCCTGACGGCAGACATAGGGAGGGACTAATAGACAAAGGGAGAGACAGGTTGACCAACTGACATGATGGACAGAAACAGACCAACGGCAAGGACAGAAGTGTGGGTGTTTGGCCAAGGGGCCTACCAGACAGGTTACTAGAGCTGGGGGTGCTGCACCCACCGCCCCCTTCTCTGGACTTCCCAGGGGTAGGGGGTCCCTGGGAATGTCCTTCTGACCCTGTGCGGGGCTGCCCATTGCAGGAGAGGAGCCAGCAGCCCCTCCCCACAGAGGGCCCCCACCTCTCCGTGCCCGCCTCGGTCATAGTCAGCGCCCCGCCTCCTGCCCAAGACCCAGCCCCAGCCGGAGCCCAAGGAGCCGGCCTCGGCCCTCAGGCCCCCGACAGCCATGCTTCCCCGGTGCCGGCCCCCCAGGTAGACCGTCGCAGCAGCCTCTGTCAGTTCAGACGCAGCCTTGCCCCGCTCCTTCCTGCTCGCCGCCGCTTCCCTGCTCAGCCCTGTCTGCCTCTGTCTCGCTGGCTTGGGAATCGGTGCCGCCCTTGCCCACCCGCCCCGTGTGCCCCGAGTGTTTCCCGAAGACGGGGGGTGCCCCATGCTTGGGCAGCAGGAAAGGGGGCTGATGGCCACATCTGAGCACGGGCAGAGGGTGCACGCTGTACAGGAGGTGGTTTCCTCGCTGTTTTGTGCAGCTGTGTCTTGCGGGTGGCATGTTTTGATTTAAGCAGCCCCAGACGCTGGGCTCTTAGGTCACTTGCTGTCCTGTGGCTGAGGCCTAGAGGGTGACTTCCGCATACGGAGAAGTGGCCAGGTCTGCAGGCTCAGGCGTCGTCTGTCCTGTTGACCTTGACCCGTCTGATGGGCGCAGAACATATGTTTGTTTTGAAGCTGTGCTTCAGTGTTACCTGCACTTCTAGTTCTGTGAGTTTGTTGGTACTGTTTGTCATTTGAAAACTGGACTCGCCGGTCATCTTGTTGGTTTATGGAGGCTCTTTACATAGGAAACATCCCCTCTTGTCTTAGGCAAGCTGTAGGCACGTGGGAGGGGAGGGAGTCTGTAGCCTGGAGGCGTGGCTGGCGTGTTTGTCCCTGAAGGCGGGGGCGTGCGGAGAGGAGAGGATGGAGGAGGTGTTGGCAGTGGCCAAGGTGGCAGAAAGCAGCGTGAGCTTGGCCTTGAATGGCCCTGACTTCTGCTGTTGACTGCTTGAATCCTAGATTTTTGAATTCTGTCATTGGATGAGGTGAGTGAGTGTGTGTGTGTGTGTGTGTGTGAATTCACAGTCAAGGGTACTTCACAAAGCTTGTGGGAATGCACTTGAAGGGTGAGTGTATTCCAGTGCAGAAGCAATGAACATGCGTGTCTTGCTTGTTCACGTGTCGGCCTGGCTCAGGAACTTGTTGAGGTCCCTTGTATGCTGAGCAGTCAGCATTCAGATTGACTGACTGATTTGAAAGAGTGACAGCGAGAGGGAGACCTGTTCATCCACTTCCAGATGATCAGAGCGGCTGGCACTGAGGCCAGGCGCTTCTTCTGGGCCTGCCGTGTGCGTGCAGCGTCCCAAGCACTTGGGCCGCCTCTGCTGCTTTCCCAGGCACATTAGCAGGGAGCTGGATGGGAAGGACAGGAGTGGAACTCGAACTGGCACTCTTGATTTGGGATGCTGGGTATCTGTCTGTCCAGCCAGGGCCTACCAGCTGGTAAGTGGAAAGGCCAGGACTCACATGAGGTGTGTTGCTGCAGACAGCCAGGCCCAGCTGCGTGTCCAAGCCCTGCCTCGGCCAACTTGGTGTGAGCCCTGGCTTCCTTATCTGTAAAATGAGAATGAGGCCACTGGTGTCGCACAGTGGCTCAGCAGCTTGGCACGATGGAAGGTTCTGGAAAGTTCTGGAATGCAAATGGACCCATGGATGGACAGATGCTGTGGGGGAGTGGTTTTCTGCTCAGTTTAGTCCTGGCCATACATGACTCACTAAAGCAACACAAGCAATTTTGAGGTGGGCACTTTGGCCGGGTGGCGAGACCCCATCCAAGGGAGCAGCTAGAGGCAGGAACTGTGTCTGCCCTTGTATCTCATGTTGTTCTCAAGACTAATGCTGCACTCCTGACCCAGCGCCCTGCCAGACATGCCCGGGGAGGCAGCTGGTGGAGGTGCAAGTCCCTGGATCTTTGGTGCCTACCTGGGAGACCAGATTAGAGTCCAGGGCTCCTGGCCTCAGCCCAGCCCAGCCCGGCACATCCCAGCCCAGCCCGGCACATCCCGGCCCGGCCCAGCCCGGCACATCCTGGCCCAGCCCTGCCCGGCCCAGCTGTTGGAAACATTTGAGGAGTGAACTGGCAGAAGGAAGATCTCTTTGTCCCTCTGCCTTGCAATGACAAAACAAACAAAAAACAGGTATGATTCTTAGCTTGTGGAGTGTGCAGCCCAGCAGGCCGGGCTGGGGACGAGGCTGTGCTGTCACTCAACGTGCCCCTCCCTCTACCATGGGTTGGGTCCCAGCCCCCACAGGCACCCCAGTGTCTTTGTGAGGGGCGTGGTATTTCCCTGAAACCCGCCCCTACCTGGCCTAGATGCTGTGTCATCCCTAGATGATAGAATGGTTGTTGGCCCCACACACGTGCCCAGGTGGCTGTTACAGTGGGCAGCGGCCCCGGCCTCAGCCGTTGGCTCACGTGCCAATTAGAAAAAAAGATGAAAATAACTTCATGCTCATTCAGAGGATTTAGAAGATGCAGGAAAGAACAAGCGAGATTAGATCCCTCCTCAGTTCCACCATGAGGGCCAGGCGCAGGGGCCCAAGCATTTATTTGCATGGAGTCACCAGGAACTGGATGGGAAGTGGAGTGGCGGGGACTGGAACCCGCCGTCTGACAGGGCCTGGGCTGCCGTCTGTGGCTCTTGCCTGCTCTCCCATGGGTTCCCAGGAGAGGGCGTGCTGTACACTGCTGTCCGTGGGCAGCCAGGGAGGACTGCCCCAGGCCTGCACCGTTGCTGGCTCCTCCAGCGGCGCGGCATCCTTCCGCGGCCACGCAGAGGGTCCGGCCTGCTGTGGAGTGTGCGCGACGGGTGTGCCTGCAAGGACCCTTCGTGCTTTCCCACGCCGTGCGAGGGCGAGCGGCCCTGCTTTTCTCACTGATTTTTCACATAGGAAAGCTGTGAGCTTGGTGCTGTGCTGAGTTGCAGATCTCGTTCTCACACACTCGCATCCCTTCTGTAATGTGGTTTGTGACCTTAAGTGTAACTGCTAAGCACAAGGGGTTGGTCTTGTGGCACAGTGGGTAAAGCTACCACCTGCGACACCGCATCCCACATGGGCACGGGTTCTAGACCCAGCCGCTCCACTTGAGATCCTGCTCCCTGCCGATGGCCTGGGAAAGGAACGAACAAGTGCTTGGCTTTAAATGACTAGCATCTGCTCAAGGCCAGGCTGGGGGCACCTCCCTGGAGGCTAAGGCTGGCAGTGCCCGGGGATAGTAAGCCACCGCGTGTGGGCGGCCTGGAGCTGGGGCTCCTCCCAGCTGGATGCTCTGGCTCCCTGGCCTCAGTCTGTCATCTGTGAAATGGCTCCAGCATTACCATTGCTCTCAGGGCCGAGTTTGTGCAGGTGACCACCCATGCTGCCAGACAGGGTGGGTTCTGTGGCCCAGGGGTCAGGTACCAGCTCGGTGCTGGGTGCTCCCCTGGCTGCACCGTCAGTTCTGGGAGAGGTGCCAGCCAGGCGTGTTGTAGGTCAGGTTGCCCTGTGTGTGTGCCTGTCCCAGAGCCAGCGAACGTCAGGGTCACGTGTCTGACACCTGCTCAGGAACTCCCACCCACACCTGCAGAGTTCCAGGACGCTTAGGAAGGACCTCCAGCTGTGGTCCCTGGCTGCAGGGACACTGCCTGCCCCCCTCCCCTGCTGCTGCGCTCCCTGCTCCCAGCCTCCCGCTCCCCCCAACCCCGCTGGGTGCAGTGTCCCCACTGCTGTGCTGCTTTCTGCGCTGCTGCCACCCACCCCTGCGGGGCCCAGGGCTCGCTTCCAGCTACACAGTGGAGGGGCCAGGGGTGGGAGAGGGACTGAGGGCGGAGGGCAGACAGATGGGGAGCTGGCCAACAGGGCCCCAGCCACAGCTGACTCTCCCCTCTTCCTCTTCCTCCCTCCCTCCCCCAGATCCCGGCAGCCGCTCCACTGAAGGGCCCCGGTCCCTCCTCGTCCCCCTCGCTACCTCACCAGGCCCCAATGGGAGACAGCCCCCACATGCCCTCCCCACATCCGGCCCGACCTCCCTCCCGCCCCCCCTCCCAGCCCCACTCTCGCCCCCCTTCCCAGCCCCAGAGCCTGTCCCGTCCCCCCTCTGAGCCCACCCTGCACCCCTGTCCCCCACCCCAGGCCCCACCCACCCTGCCAGGCATCTTCGTTATCCAGAACCCACTGGGCGTCCCCCAGGCTGCCAGCACCCCAGCCCCCACCGTCCCTGGCCCTCAGCCTCCTCTGCCACCTGAAGGGCCACTGCCTCCCGCCCCCCACCCGACTCCAGCCTCCACCGTGGCTTCCTCTGAGACGTCCACCAGGGTACCTGCCCCCACGCCATCTGACTTCCAGCTTCAGTTCCCGGCTGGCCAGGGACCGCACAAGTCCCCCACGCCCCCGCCGAGCCTCCACCTGGTCCCTGAGCCGGTGGTGCCCCCGCCGCCGCCCCCACGGACCTTCCAGATGGTGGCCGCCCCCTTCCCAGCTCTGCCCCAGCCAAAGGCCCTGCTGGAGAGGTTCCACCAGGTAACACATCCGGCCCCCCACCTCCCTCCAGACCCGCCGCCTCCACCTGCAGCCCCTCACCCACCTTCCGCCCCTCAGGTACCTTCCGGCATCCTCCTCCAGCACAAAGCGGGCGGGGCCTCTGCTGCCACACCACAGGCCCTGGCCAGCCCCACGACCTCGGTGCTGGTCAGCGGCCAGGCCCCCTCCGGGACCCCCGCCACCCCCAGCCATGCCCCTGCCCCGGCACCCATGGCCAACACAGGTAGGAGCCCGTGGCCGTGCCCGGGGCGGGGGCTGGGAACACGGGTGCGGGATAAGGAGCTTTGGGGCACCACAAGTCCAGGTGGTACCAAGGACCTTGGGCCTGTCTCCTGCCCTCCTCAGGCCTCCCTCCTCTGCTCCCCGCCGAAAGCAAAGCTTTTGCCGGCAGCCTCCCAGCCCTGAGTGTGACCAAGGGCCCTGTACCTGGACTACAGGTAAGAGCCCCTGGGAGGGGGCGGGGACGGTGCCCAGGGACAGCCCAAGACAGCAGAGGTGACAGGTGGGCAGGTCAGGAGGTGGGGTGGGGGCGTGAATGCCGTGCAGGGGTCAGGAGCCAGGACGCCCGGGTCCTGCCACCAGCACCTCTGTGCACCCTGGCGGCCAGCGGGAGGAACCGTGCGGGGAGGGCTGGCACCCAAAGTTGTCTCTCCCTCGTCCCCTCTCTCTCACAGCTGAAGAAAGCCCCTGCACTGCAACCCAGCAAGGAGGCCTGGTGAGTGGCTGCCCTCGCCCCTCTGGGCGGCTGGCGGCTCTCTGGGTGCCTGGGTCCCTCAGGCTCCTGGCTGGGGCAGGGCAGCCTTGGGCAGTGGGTGGGCATCCCCTCCTGTGTTCGAGATGAGTGGGTTTGGGTGAAAGGGCAGATGCAGAAACGAGGTGGGGAGGGTGCACAGGGCTGGGCCAGATGTGCATGGGCCAGGATGAATACTCAGCACCCGGTTGGCCAGGGGCAATGGACCAGGCCGGCGATGATGACCCAGGTTGGGGCCTGGGCCGGGGCTGGCCTCCCGGTGCCCGTGGCCCACAGCCAGGCAGCACCACGCTGATCCCTGGTGGCCAGGCGCTCCACGGCAGGGAATTTGGGCCCTGGCCTCACCTTGCGGGCCTTGGGGACCCGTGCACCCCACCTCAGTTCCTCTCTGTACAGTGTGTGTTGGGGGTGTGGACACTGGTCTGTGTTCTTGGGCCTGCGGCTGCGGTCAGAACCGGCGTGGTTGGCGGCCACGCGCAGTGGGCGGCTGCCCCTGGGCCTCATGCTCGCACTGTGGTCTCTCCCGCCCCCCTCCCAGCTTCCTGGAGCATTTGCACAGACACCAAGGCTCCGTGCTGCACCCCGACTGCAAGACCGCCTTCCCCTCCCTGCAGGATGCTCTGCAGCGCCTGCTGCCCTACCACGTGTACCAGGGCGCCCTCCCCTCCCCCAGCGACTACCACAAGGGTGAGGCCTCGGGGGGGGGGCAGGGCGCGGTGAGGCGGGGGCTGCACTTGCCATGGGCTGGCCACGCCAACCCCACCCGTCTCCCCTCCCCGCAGTGGACGAGGAATTTGAGACGGTCTCCACCCAGCTACTGAAACGCACCCAGGCCATGCTCAATAAGTACCGACTCTTGCTCCTGGAGGAGTCTCGGGTAGGGAGACCCCACAGGGCCCACCCCTGCAGGGAGGAGCCCCCAGTGGCTGGCAGCCCCTCCCCCTCCCTGTGTCCCCTCTCCTCATTCTGTCTTCCTCTCCAGAGGGTGAGCCCCTCGGCGGAGATGGTCATGATCGACCGAATGTTCATTCAGGAGGAGAAGACCACCCTTGCCTTGGATAAGCAGCTGGCCAAGGAGAAACCCGGTGAGGGGCGAGCCTGGGGGTCGACACTCCAACCCCTGGCCTTGGTGGGCCTGCTGTCTTAGCTGGCTCTGCCTCTGGGTGGCGCCCGAGCCCCACTTCCCTTCCTGGGGATGGGGCCAGTGGCTGCCTTCACCCTAGTCTGAGAGTGTGACCTTGACCTTGCTCTAGTCCAACCTGCCCCCTGGCCACTGCTGGCTGCCGGGACACAGGAGGCGGCAGGCCCACTCGCTGGTTGTCCAGCAGTGTCATGGGCGTTTTTGCTAAGACATTATTTACTTCCTTCAAAGGCAGAGCGATAGAGCTGGGGGGGGGACCTGTGGCTAGCCCCTCTTGGCTGGTTCAGGCCCCAAGGCTGGGCTGGGCAGAAGCCAGGAGATGTCTGGGATCTAAGCGGTGGTCAGCTGGCTGGACAATAGCACCTAGGTCATGGGAGCTGAAAGAATACCCTGGTGGAAGGAGGCAGCCATGGTGATGGGGAAGCACCTCCCCATAGAGGAGGGTGGGCAGTGGGACCCCTGGGATAAAGCCTGGCCTGGCCTGCCTCCTGCCGGCCATGTGGCTGATACACATACCTGTTCATGCCTGTCCGGTGGAGGTGAGCCCTCACAGGTGACCGCTGGGGCTTTGGTTTTAGACAGGTGACGGGGTGTCCCTACTGTGTCTTGGGGGCAATGTGCCATTGTGGGTGCAGGCTGTGCCTGCTGACCCCACACCCATGTCCTAACGCCCCACATCTTGCTTTGCACCTGCCCGCCAGATGAGTACGTGTCTTCCTCGCGCTCTCTCGGCCTCCCGGTCCCCGCCTCTTCCGACGGCCACCGGCTGTCCAGCCACGGATCCGCATCGTCCTCCTCCGCCGCCTCCGCCCCGCCGCCGTCGCACCTGCCCACCAAGCTTGTGATCCGGCATGGCGGGGCTGGTGGATCGCCCTCCGTGACCTGGGCGCGGGCGTCCTCCTCCCTGTCCTCCTCCTCGTCGTCCGCTGCCTCCTCCCTGGACGCCGATGAAGACGGCCCCATGCCCTCCCGCAACCGCCCGCCCATCAAGACGTACGAGGCGCGGAGCCGCATCGGCCTCAAGCTCAAGATCAAACAGGAGGCCGGGCTCAGCAAGGTGGTGCACAACACGGCGCTGGACCCCGTGCACCAGCCGCCCCCTGCGCCCCAGAGCGCCGAGCCCCCGCCGCGCCCGCCCCCGCCACCACCACCCCCGGCCGGCCAGATGAATGGCACCGTGGACCACCCGCCGCCGCCGGCGCCCCCTGCCACTCGCAAGGCCCCCGGGCCCGCGCCCCCCGGGCCGCGCCTGCCGCTCCGCAAGAGCTACCGAGAGCATGCGGCCACCAGCCCCACGCCGCTGCCCACCAAGGTGGACGAGGCCACGAGCGGCCTCATCCGCGAGCTGGCGGCCGTGGAGGACGAGCTGTACCAGCGGCTACTTAAGGGCACCGCCGCGCCGCCCGAGCCCGCGCACGCAGCCGCCCATGCCCAGGGTGGGGATGCCGGCTGGGAGGCCCCCACGCTGCCACCCGCCAAGCGGCGCAAGTCCGAGTCCCCAGACGTGGACCAGGCCAGCTTCTCGAGCGACAGTCCGCAGGACGACACTCTGACGGAGCACTTGCAAAGTGCCATCGACAGCATCCTGAACCTGCAGCAGGTGCCCGGCCGGCCACACGGGGCTCCAGCACCTGCCGCCTCCCCGCCACCCCTGCACCGGCCCGACGCCTACCCACCCTCCAGCTTCAACGGGGGCCTGGGCACCAGGACGTTGAACAGATAACAGCGGGCGGCCGGGACCGCCCATCCAATGCCTAAGTTATTGCAGTCGCCGAGGGCCGCCTGGCGGAGATACGGGAGTGGGGTGCGCGCCTGGGGAGGGGGCCGGAGAGTGATGGCCCCTCTTCCCTCCCTCCCCGCAGCCCCCAGTGCCCATGCCCACCACAGCTCACACTCGCGCGGGGCTCGCAGGAGGGCACCCACAGCAGGGAGGGTCCGCCCTGACCGCTCAGCAGCCCTGGAGGAAGCCAGAGGTGGGTGGGGCTCGAGCAGGGTCCCCCCCCACCTCCCCCTGTGTCCTCCCCGCGACCCGCGCAGCCGCCCCTCACCCCTCTGCTGGGATCCGAGCGCAGCCACCAGAAACCGGGGTACACCCGGTCCTCCCCCAACACACACGCGCGCACACACACACACACACACACACACACACGCACGCACGCGCGCACGCGCGCACCTGCGCGGCCAGTCTTCCTCTGCCTCCAGCCGCCCACGCCACGTGTTGAAATCCCGGAGACAGAACTAGTACTGTAAGATAAATTTTTTTGTACTGTATTTATTGTGTATAACGATTTTTTTAAAAGGAGAATTCTGTACATTTAGAACTCTTGTAAATTAAAAGCCGATCCTTTTTTTTTTAAGACTGTATTTGTGCCCCGTTGGCCTTATTGCTCTGGCGTTGGGGAGCGAGGGTGGCTACGGCCTGGGGTGAGCGGGAGAAGGGAAGCCGGCTCAGTGAGGCGGACGGAGGTCCCCATGATGCCCCCCGTGATGCCGGCGCACACTCTGGCCCCAACCTTGCCATCCGCCCTGGGGATCCTGGGCCTCCTGCTGGCGTCCCTAGGTCCCCTTGCACGCGAGCCATCCCCAGCGAGTCTCCCCTCTCAAGGCTTGGCACCTGCCACAAGTGTTTTGCACTTTCCCCTTCGATTTGGAAGTATTAATAAAAAAAAAAAAAATCCAGGGGGTAGAATCCAAATCTAAACACTGGATTCTTTTAAAAACATTTTTTTTTCCCAAAAAAATCTATTTGTTTGAAAAAAGTTATAGAGATGGAACCACACTTGGAGTTCTTTCAAAGGTTAGTCAACTCCTCCAAATGGCCAAGATGATCAGGGCTGGGCCAGGTGGGAAGTAGCAACTGGGAGCTTCCTCCAGGTCTCCCACGCGGGTGCAGGGTCCCAAGGCTTTGGGCCGTCCTCCACTGCTTTCCCAGACCACAGGCAGGGAGCTGGAAGGGAAGTGGAGCAGCCAGGATTAGAACCAGCGCCCACTTTGGATCCCAGTGCCTGCAAAGAGAGCACTTCAGCTACTAAGCTACCACGTCGGGCTCACCTGCACATGTTGTTAAGATTTATTTATTTTTATTGGGAATGCAGATTTACAGGCAGAAGGAGAGACAGAGAAGTCTTCCATCTGCTGGCTTACTCCTCAAATAGCAATGGCAGAAATTGAGCTGATCCAAAGCCAGGAGCCAAGAACTTCCTATGTGTCTCCCATGAAGGTATAGGGTCCATCCACTGCTTTCCCAGGCCATGAACAGGGAGCTGGATGGGAAGTGGGGCCGCCGGGACAAGAACCTGCGCCCCTCTGGGATCTCGGCGCTTGGAGGGGGAGGATTAGCCAATTGAGTAATTGCAAGGGCCCCTTGCATTTCTTGTAAAAGGGAGTTTATTTGCTTGAAAGGCATCGAGGCCAAGAGTTGCAGAGAATTCTTTTATCTGCTGGTTCACTTCGTAGAAGCCTTCAATGGCCGGAGTGGAGCCAGGCTCCAGCCAGGACCCAGCAAGTCCCACGTGCGTTGCAGGGGCCCAGGCACTCGGGCCGACTTTGGCTGACTCGCAGGGTCCTTGGCAGGGAGCTGGGTGGGAAGCGGAGGGGCAGCGGCCAGGTCTCCAACCCCTGCTGCAACCCTGGGTTCAGGCAGCGGCTTCGCTCACTAAACCTCTCGTCACGACATGTTTCGATGGCTTCCTGTCCCAGGAGTGAGGTTGGAATATTCAGAGATTCGGGGCGGGAGAGGAAGTCACCTAGCCCTGTTTGCAGAGTGAGTCTGAATGTGACAGAAACACAGGGTGACCAGGTCAGCTGGTACCCAGACACCTTCACATCCCTGGGTGGGGACACAGCACAGTGCAAGGTTCAAGGGCTGGCCAGACAGCTTCTGGGATGAACTTGACATCCTTGTCTCCTGGACTCGGAACTTGGGGAACAGAAGACGGTGGGAGAGGTCACGGCCCCCTCGTCCCTGGACAGTGAACCATCTGCCTTACTGCCCTTAAAGGTCTCCAGATGGAGTGGCCGGTGACGTGTGAACGGAGCCCTGCAGGTGAGAGAGCCGCAGGGGGTGCCTGGGGGTTCGGACCCCAAGGCAGAGGGTCCACAGGGAGGCCAGTGTGGTGAACTGGGAGAAGGCAGGTGGCAAGGAATGATTTTAGGGTTCACCTGGAGCTGAGGCTCACTGGCGCCTCCTGGTGTCCACGCCAGCCTGAGCGGGGATGGAGCCCCAGGATGACTTGGGGGCGGGAAGCGGGGGCCCCTGGCAGTCGCCCCACAGGGGACAGACGCTGACTCGTGGCCAGCAGATGAAAGACCTTTCTGTCTCTCCTTCTCTCTGTAGAACTGCCTTTCCCATAAAAATAAATAAATCAAAAATAAAATCAAAGTTTTCTATCCACTGCTTTGCTTCCCAGAAGCCCTCAGCAGCCTGGCTGAAGCCAGGAGCTTCTTCTGGGTCTCCCACACGCGGGTGCAGGGTCCCAAGGCTTTGGGCCATCCTCCACTGCTTTCCCAGGCCAGAAGCAGGGAGCTGGATGGGAAGCTGGGACACAAACTAGCGCCCATAGGGGATCCCAGCACATGCTAGGCGAGGATTTAGCCACTGTGCTATCATACAGGGGCCAAGTAAAATAAATCTTAAAAAAAAAAATTTAGGCTCTCAGAGCTGCCACCCTGTGGGAGTCAGAGACGGAGCCGCAGCCATCTGGGGAATGAACCAGCACATGGAGGTGTCCTTCTCTGCCCCTGTTTGTAACTTTCAACAAATAAATATTCACACACACACACACACACACACCTTAGAAAGCTCAGTAGAGAGCCTGGCCAGGGACCCGCAGTGTGCCCGCACTGGGGCACTCCACATGCCCACTGTAGCCCTACCGGGGGAAATGGGCAGCTAAACAGGTCATCTAGTGGCCAGTGTCGCGGTGTACAAGCTAATGAGCCACCCTGTGGTGCTAGCATCCCATAGGGTCGCCGGTTCTGGCCCAGCAGCTCCAGTTCTGGCCCAGCTCCCTGCCTGTGGCCTGGGGAAGCAGTCAAGGACGACCCAAAGCCTTGGGCCCCTGCACCTGCATGGGAGAGTTGGAAAAAGCCCCTGGCTCCTGGCTTTGGATTGGCTCAGCTCTGACTGTTGTGGCCACTTGGGGAGTGAATCGAAGTGTCTCCTTCTCTCTATAAATCTGCCTTGGCAATAAAAATAAATCTTTCTAAAAATAAAAAGCATAAGGAGAAGTAGGCGGATGGGGGCAGCGGGGCTGGAGAAGTGGAGAGAGGTCAGTGCAGTAGGACCCTTGCTGTCCCCAGGCTGCCAAGGGGGCCCAGCCCTCGCTCCCTGGCGGCCCGCTCCACCAGGAGGCGCCAGAGGCCGGGCCCGGTTTGGGGGGGCCTGGGGTGGGAAGGCGGGGGCTCCTGGTCCCGCCCTCCCCACCCAGCCCCTCCCCGCCCTCCACTTGGCGCCCTACGGGCCCCACCCGGCTCAGACGGCTCCGGACGGGACCGCGCGCACAAGGCCGCTCCGCGGGCGCCCCCCAGTTCCCCGCGGGACCCCCGGCCCAGCCTGTGCCAACCCGGCCCCGTCGCCAGCGCGCCCCGTCGGTGAGTGCGCCCCGGGCCTTGGCACCCGCCCCGGTTCCTACAGGGGTCACTGCGGATGCCCCTTCCCCCCCACTCCAGGCTGCCACCGAGCCCCCCACGTCCCCGGCTTGCCCCTCGCCCACCCACAAGCAACTTTCGCTGCCGCCCTGGGATGCCCCCAGGCCCCTTGCCTCGCCCCTGGCTCCCTCCTGGCTTGTGCATTTCTCGGTTGCCCCGTTAAGGAACCCAACACATCTGATGGGCAGTTACCTTGGTTTCAGACTCTGTCCTCCTTGGAGGGTCCGGTGAGGGGTTTCCAGCAGGGTCCTGAGCCCCCAGTCCTCCCGGGAGGTGTCCTGCCCAGCTGGGAGCGCCTCCCTTCCCCCCGCCACAGCCCGAGGCGACCCAGCTCCTGCCAGGCGCAGCCCAGCTCTCCCAGGAATGCTGCAAAGTCCTTAACTCATGTGGTCAGCAGCGGCTTCTCGGGGCAGCTTCCTTCAATTCCAAGCATCTACCTGCACTGGCCAGAGAAGCGTTTGACTCAAACACCGCAGATAGGGGACAGTAGGCCGGGTCCTGCTCGGCAGCCCCCGGCAGGGAGAGGACGCACAGGAGGCGGGCAGCTGGGTGCTGGCGGGAGCTGGTTTCTCTCCCACATCCACAGTGGGTGGTGGCTGTAGACCCCACAGGCAGCATCCAGGGCTGCCCTGTCCCCTCTGGGCTGGCGGCAGCTGGTCTCGACCTTTCTGGGAGCACGCTGAACAGTAGAACGTGTCCAGTGATGACCGGAGAAGGGGGCAGGAAAAGGGAGGTTTTGGGGTGCGCTCCTTCAGGCAGCTTCCACACCTCATCTTTTGCCGTCAAATGCCCTTGTTGTGTTCCTTTGAAAGGCAGAGTGATGGAGAGGAAGGAGAGAGAGGGGGGAGAGAGAGAGAGCGAGAGCTCGCTCTTCCATGCTCTGATTCACTCCCCAAACAGTTACAACGGCCAGGGCTGAGCCAGGCTGGAGCCAGGAGCCAGGACCTCCTTCCAGGTCTCCCACATGGGTGCAGGGGGGCTCGGGGACTTGGGCCGTCTTGGGCTGCTTTCCCAGGCTCTATTAGCAAGAAGCTGGATCGGAAGAGGAGCAGCTGGGACTCGAACCTGTTGTCCACATGGGGTGCTGGGACTGCAGATGGAGGATTAGCCCGCTTAGGGTTGATCCCTGCATTCCGCTCTCGCCCATCTCACCGTGGAGCTGCCTCTGACGCCCCCACCCCACCTGGACCCCTTGCTCTCCCTGCCTGCACCCGTCCTCTCCCTCCCCCCACCCCCGTACCCCATCTCCTTGCCTTGATCTCCACCAGGCAGCCCGCCGTCAACACCCTCTCCTCCCGCAGGCACCTGCGTCTCTGTGAGCCCAGTGGTCAGCGCCCAGCCGCCATGTTCAGCTGGCTGAAGCGGGGCGGGGCCCGGGGCCAGCAGCCCGAGGCCATCCGCACGGTGACCTCGGCCCTCAAGGAGCTGTACCGGGCCAAGCTGCTGCCCCTGGAGGAGCACTACCGCTTCGGCTCCTTCCACTCGCCCGCCCTGGAGGATGCCGACTTCGACGGCAAGCCCATGGTGCTGGTGGCCGGCCAGTACAGTACGGGCAAGACCAGCTTCATCCAGTACCTTCTGGAGCAGGAGGTGCCCGGCTCCCGCGTGGGGCCCGAGCCCACCACCGACTGCTTCGTGGCTGTCATGCATGGTGACACGGAGGGCACCGTGCCGGGCAATGCCCTCGTGGTGGACCCCGACAAGCCCTTCCGC